AATCGCGATTTGTTTAGCATCTCAACCGATTTGAATCGTCACCTATTTGAATCGATTTTCAACCGGCTCGCGGTTAATCGTTACATCCTTAACTATTGATGATGATTATATGATCTTTGAACAATATCGGTCAATATATGCAAGATAATTAAAGTGTACCTGAAGTATACTTGCAGTAGTTCCACTTCAGCACAATCAAATATACTTCAGTATATCTTTAGTTCAGCACTACTTCCACACAATTAAAGTGCAAAGTAAAAAATGAGATGTTCCAATTTAGCAGACTCTAAGTATACTTATTAAGTTTAATAAGTATATTTAGTATGCTAAAAGTTCAAGTGCAGGGTATTTAGATTAAGTACATAAATATGTAAATGTAGAATACTTAGCATGAAATAACTGTATTTCAAATACATTTTAGTATATTTATTTTTCACTAGGGTCATCTATCCCTTTAAATACACAAACCAGCAGATGAGCTGCAATGAGCAGTTTCAGTGAGTTGGCTAAAACATTGATTGTAGCATTATATGTTGTAGTTTCAATTTTGATTATCCAGGTGAAGCTGCTAAACCTGACTTCCTTCGGATTTGTCCAGTAGGGTTGAATGAATGTGTAATTATCTCTGTCTCTCTCACTCCTCTAGTCTGCTGTCATGTCTGCAGCGTTTGCGAAGTTTCACCCAAACCTGGTTGTCGGTGGCACTTACTCGGGACAGATCGTCCTGTGGGACAACAGAAGTAACAGACGCACTCCTGTCCAGAGGACGCCTCTCTCTGCTGCGGCGCACACGGTACGTGACGTTCACACACCATACTGGAAAGGTGCAGTCCAAAAACCTTGTGGTATTATTATTATGGTGTCCTAAAACAAAATATAGCATCTTTTTCTGATTTGTTTTATTATTTTTACCCTTAACCTTACATTTCTGTTTCTCCGTGCAGCACCCAGTGTACTGTGTTAATGTGGTTGGCACACAAAACGCTCATAACCTCATCAGCATCTCCACTGATGGAAAGATGTGCTCCTGGAGTCTGGACATGCTGTCTCAGCCACAGGTACTCACAATGCCCTTCAAATATGCCATCATGGTTTCAGAGTTTGAATATCACGCTCAAAGAAAGCAACTTGCTTACTCAACCAGTAAAAACAGTGAATGTTGTGTGCATCTTGCTGACGTGAATTCGTTGGCATCAGAAGCGCTATAAAAAGCCCACTGGGGGAACACAAGCTCTTCCATGCTGCTCACCCTTGAGTTTCCAGAAACATTTGCCAAACCGCAGTGTCAGATGTTAATGATTGGTAAAGCGCTGGCTGAATTTAAATTGCGCATTTCTAATCTGTGGAAGAGGCTGCTGGCTGTGGTGTTATTGATGTGTGTGCGTGTGTGTGTGTGTGTGCATGTTTATGTGGTTTATGAGGACACAAATGTGTATAATAACATGGGTATGACATAGGTATTACAACAAGAAGGTGATTTATGAGGACATTTTCAGTGTCCCCGTAATTCAAAAGGCTTATAAATAATTCAGAATGAGTTTTTTTGAAAATCTAAAAATGCAGAAAGTTTCCTGTGAGGGGTAGGTTTAGGGGTAGGGTTGGTGTAGGGCAATAG